CACATAAATATACATAAATGTACATAAATGGGCATATGGCGCCTACATTACCGGCCCCTAATTGTTCTAATAACAAAGTAACAAAGAACAATTACCAAACTTCTTCTTATGGAATAAAATATGAATCATATCTCAAATCAAATTACTTTTTCATAACCAGCATGCAATGAATTAAGTACACTAAAATGTCCATTGTCCTTCATCTAAACCTCAAAGGTATAAAGTCCATCATCGCTCCATCTGCAATGAAGAAAGAAAGACAGATAGAAAATAGGTAGAGAAATAAAGAGAGAGAGTAGAGCCAGAGGTTGCTAGCACATAGCTCATCGATGGGGCTTAGTCTTTACCACTAGCCCGGTCAGACTCCACAAGCAGACAGATCTTCGTAATGGGTCTGTCCAAAACATTAGTCTTTGTCTTTATCTTGACTCTGCGGACCAGACCATTCTTGTCTGGAACTGCTTCGATGATCTTGCCCATAATCCAAGAGTTTCTCGGCGCACAGTCATCCACAAGAAGAACGATGTCTCCTACAGCAAAGTTCCTGGATGCGGTGGCCCAGCGTTGTCGCTCTTGTAATTGAGGCAGGTACTCCTTAATCCATCTCTTCCAGAATAAGTTGGACAGGTACTGTACCTGTTTCCACCTGCGTCTTGAGTAGAGGTCGTCCTGGTCAAACAATCCTGGAGGCAATGAGGGTTTCGTCTTGAGCAACAGTAAATGATTAGGCGTCAGAGCCTCTAAATCATTTAGATCGTTGGACGCTCTAGTGATCGGACGGCTGTTGATGATCGACTCTGCCTCGCACAGGACCGTATGAAGGCTTTCCTCATCAAGGATCTGCTCTCTCACAGTTGAATTCAGCACCTTTCGGACTGATCGTATCAATCTCTCCCATGCTCCACCGTGATGCGATGCGGTGGGAGGGTTAAACGTCCACTTGATCCCATGCTGGTGGAACAGATGCTGAAACGGTGATGAGTTCCAATCAGCAATGGCATCCTTCAGCTCGCGATTGGCGGCAACGAAATTTGTCCCATTATCCGAGCGAATCTCTTTCACTTGTCCTCTGCGTGATATGAAGCGGCGAATCGCGTTAATGCACGAATCAGTGTCCAATGACGAGGCCACCTCAATGTGCACTGCGCGAATGGCAAAACAAGTGAATATGACTCCGTACTTCTTCAAAATGGTTCTTCCACGCTTGACCTCCAGTGGTCCGAAATAATCCACGCCAACTCGAGTGAAAGGCGGGTCATCTGGTATTACTCGATCTTGTGGAAGATCAGCCATAAGTTGGGTTCCAACTTTCCCATGCAAGCGGCGACACGTCACGCACTTCCCAATCACTTTCCTAATGGCCATGTTGGCGCTTGGAGTCCAAAATCTTTGGCGCAGCTCAGAGAGCATATGATTGCGTCCACCATGCCCTGTCTTTAAGTGAATCTGTTGGAGGATTAAGTCCGTTATGTGAAAATCTCTGGACAGAATGATTGGCTGCTTGCGACTTTCTGGCATAGCTGCCCGACTCAGTCTTCCACCAACTCGCAACAGGTCATCTTGAAGCACTGGGTTTAGCTTATACAAGTGACTACTGCGCTTCACACTCTGTCCTTTGTGCAAAGCCGCAATCTCCTCAGAGTACTTCTCTTTCTGACAGAATTTGATTATGTCAAGTTCTGCTTGCTCCAGGTCTTCTACTGAAAGTTTAGTAGGTCCAATGCTCGCCTTGAAGCTGTCAATCTGGGTTTGGATCAGCTGTTCACTATGAACTGCACCTTTCCCGATGTCGGCTGCACACAGCTCTTTGCGTTTTTGACAGAGGCTTCGCAATATGGCCTTCAACTTCAGGAACCACGCGATTGTTCCTTTCAATTTGATCCAGGATGAAAAGTGGTTGATTAGTCTTTTGAATGGAGTGACATTCTCTTCCACTTCCACTCGATTCACTGTGACCTTTTTGATCTCTGGGTCGTCTGACGTGAGTTGTGTGTGGCTCAATGGAGTGTTGGGCCAACTCTCTTCAGGACCGTGAAGGAACTCAGGTCCAGACACCCATGTGGTGTTCTTCAGGAATTGATCCACTCTTTGCCCTCTAGAGGCACAGTCGGCTGGATTCACGTCGGTGCTGACATGTCTCCACTGCTCCACATCAGAGTTCTTCAAGATAGTGGAAACTCTGTTTGCCACAAATGTGCGGAAACGTGTGGTCTCATTCTGTAGATACCTGAGTACCACCGTGCTGTCAGTCCAAAAAATAGACTCTGCAAGTTCCAGTTGTAGCTCTCTTCTCAGGACACCATCCATCTTAATAGCCACCGTAGCTGCTATCAACTCCATCCGGGGAATGGTAGGAGGCCTGAGAGGCGCTACTCTGGATTTGCCCATCATGAATGTGCAGTGTGTCTGGTTTTCAGCGTTGCGCAGGAGAAGGTAACTGACTGACCCATACGCATCCTCACTCGCGTCCGCGAAGTGATGTAGTTGTGCAAATATGCAACTTCCAAATTCTTCAGGCTTGAGACATCTGTCCACTGAGAAGTGCTCCAAGGCAGTAAGACTAGCTAGCCAGTCAGTCCACTGCTTCTTCACATTCTCTGGTAAGTCTTCGTCCCATCCAATCTTCAATCTGCATAGTTCTTGCAGGATAGCTTTGGCTGGCAAGACTATGGGTGACAAAATGCCTAATGGATCGTAGACTGAACCAATGACTGAGAGAAGTCCTCTCCTGGTGAATGGGCGATCTTTTATGTTGATCTTGAATTTGAATGTGTCTGACTCAACACACCAGTTGACGCCAAGAGCCCTTTCCAGAGGTAGTTCGTCATGATCCAGATCCAAAGTTTTCATTTCTGTTGCCAATTCAGACTTGGGAATGGAGTCGAGCACCTTCCGTCGGTTGCTCACCCATTTGGTGAGACGAAAGCCTCCTTTGGCACAGATCTTCATGAGGTCTTGACACATTGAAACAGCTACCTCTTCTGTAGCGACAGACTTGAGGCAGTCGTCTACATAAAAGTTCTGTAGGACGGTCTGAACCACTTCAGGTCTGAACTGCCCACTCTGATCTTCAGCACACCTCCTCAAAGCGAAGCTGGCGCAACTCGGAGAGGACGTGGCCCCAAATATGTGCACGGTCATCTTGTGCTCCGTCAGCGCCTGGTTGCAGTCACCGCCTTCCCACCAGAGGAACCTGAGCAGATCAGAGTCTTTCTCAGACACCTTAACTTGGTGGAACATTGCTTCCACGTCGGCCATGATCGCGACAGGCTCTTGTCTGAATCGTATCACAACACCAATCAGACTACTGGTCAAGTCTGGACCCTGAAGGAGTTGGTAATTCAGGGATGTGCCTTGATAGGACGCAGCACAATCAAACACAACCCTTAGCTTCTGTTTTACAGGATGGTACACAGCATGGTGTGGTATATACCATACCTTCCCTTCTTTGTGCATCTGTTCCTCTTCTGATAGTTGCACCGCGTAGCCCTTCTTTAGCAGGTCTTCCATAAAGTCTGTGTACTCCTGTCTGTAGTTCTCGTTCCTGAGAAACTTTCGCTTTAGATTTTGTGCTCGCTGTTCAGCAATTGGTCGATTGTTTGGCAAATGAACCGATCTGTTCTTGAGGGGTAGACATAAGGAGTAGTGACCATCAATCAGTGCAGCAGATTCTGTGACCATATCCATGAACTGGTGGTCTTCTCTGGACATCTCCACTTCTTCATGTTTTCCACTTTCCGGAAAATCCACTTTGAACTGTTGTAACCACAGGTTCTCCAAACTGCTGACTGATATGCGGTTTGCAATTTTCCTTTTTGGCTCTCCTTTGTCTTCGTGGCTGTTTGTTTCCCTCAAAGGTCCATTCACAGT